TTGTTTTTTAAGGGAGATGGTTACAGGACTAGGTATGAAACCATCTGTTTATGTTCCACAATTTCTTCATAAATAACATACGATAGAAAGAAAGCTAAATTACACACCATTTTTTTGTTTGTATAGGGAATTATAAAAAAAAGATCAAGTTAAGCAACTCACCTCTACCCATATCCAAGACCATTCTTGAAGCTATGGTATAAAACAGAAGTAGGAAGGGATTCCTTTATATTTTCAAACAAACTTTTTGCACGAGTTGATAAAGAACCTACTTGCTAAAAAATACCGTATCATCCACTTTAAAAGAAATTAAGTATGTAATGGTAATTTTTGTCAAGCTTTCACCAATCCATAATAATACTTTAACAGTTTCAAAAATTCAGCCAGCTCTTTTCTGTTAGGCAATTTGTGCAATTTGCAAAATTCTCATTTTTCCAATACTGAAGTGCATTACTTATTCCCAACCTAATAGGTTGGGAAAGCAAATGATGATTAAAAAAGCAATGGCAATTTATCACTTGCTAAAAATTCTGGCTGGATATTTTACCATTCACTTTACCATAGCTAAGTATACCGCAACAGAGATTATCGTATTTTCTCTTACTATAAATGTACTTAGCAGCTAATAGCTATGTTGCTGTTCCAGTTAAAACACACACTACGTATGTGGCAAGATAACAAATAAAAAAATACAACTCTAATACTACCTCAAAGAACCTGTGTGAAAGACTAATGATAAGACATACCTTCAACCCTACTTTTACTACAAGAGTAACATAATGAATATTTATGAATGAATGAATATCTTTTCAAGACCTCAGTTATTGAGGAAAACAGTCAGGGCTCTATTCTGACTTGTAGATGAATTCCCATTATCTCAAATTTTAAGAGCAAAAAAAACAAGACTTCCAACCTTCACTCTCTTAACTTAAAGACCTCATAAACTTTTCTAGTAGGCATACGTGAATCAGCTTTGACTTAATAAGAATGGCCTAAATACAACTTATCTTGAGATCAAATCCCTACTGAATTTTTTTGAGGCTCAAAATATTTTATTTTCATTTTCTTATAACTATTCTTATTTTAGATTTGTCCCCAAAGGATTACGTTGTCATGAATTACTATTCTCAAAATACTATTCTCAAAATATGTTCCATGCTGGAGAAAATTAGGAAGTCCCAGGAGAAGTTCTGCTGTGTGATTTCTATGTGAATTTTCTATAGCCTGCGGGTTTGATTAAAAGCTGAAAACACAAGGTGTTAAATGGTCAGAGCTTCCAATTCCACACTGCAGAATTGAAAGAAAGGACACGTATCACTGTCATTCACATAGTATTACCATCCCCTTTGGATCAGGTTTGGCAGTTCCTTAGGACCAGAAAGCTGACTATACAATCTGCCAGCTAATTTCCAACCCCAAGCAAAGCTTATGCTGCAGATAATTGCGGCTGGATATTAACATTAGTTACTTTGCATTCATCAACAGTCACATTACCCGAAAAAGAAAAGGAAATTAGCCCTTGCATTAGTACAATCTAGCAAAGTATATGTTCTCTCATCATGAGCTAGCTGAATCCTCAAATTTTCTCATCAGATTTGACCCTTAGCACATTCCTGCCCTGCACACTATAGCTAACGCTAGCCTATTTCTAAAACTAAAGATTATAAATCTTTCCCAGCAAGCCCAGTGTGATTGCAAATTGAAGTCTTTATCCAGTGCTTTGATTTCCAAGGTCCCTGAAGTTTAGATGGAGTTGCATCACAGCAAGACATTCACCTGTACCACAGGCCCAGATCCAGCATAATTTTTTCCGCTAGAGCTTTCCTTATACTTCTCTCAAACTCTATTCAATGTCTAGAGCTATCCTAGAAGGTTCTGATTATCCAGGAGCAGCATAAGCAGACCCTTTCTTTCCTTTATAGCAATTTCTTGTTTCCCTTCTTCTGTTTACAAAGCATCCCAGGAAGAAAAAAGCTTTTACAGGTACTTCAATCAGGAAAGTCCAGGAAGGTGTACTTCCCCCAGTGAGTGATACAGGCAAGCTAGTAACAATAGAAAAGGAGAAGAATGAGGTACTTAACAAATTTTGGCTTCTTGGTGGTGGGGCACTGGCAATACTGATCCGTCTTACTCTGTCATATACCACCACACCCTCAGAATAAGCCATAATATAGAAATGACAACCACTGGTAGGAACAATGAAACAAAGCATGATTTACTGTCACATCATCCAAGGAGAAATACTTTTTGTAGAGAAATTGAAGTCTCAAATTTAAATTGACTCATTCCATAATCAAAACAGGAAGGATAGAAGAGAAAATCAGAGGGAAAAAATGGAATAAAAGGTAGAAGAGACCTCTGCTTATAAGTGAAAAATTCAAAATACAGCAGAGCTAAGCAGAATTGCCACAGCTAAGGATCTTGCACACAGATAAGGAAGAAGAAAAGCCCTTCTAGTTAAGATGTTTTGAGGTAGTTCAAAGATTATTTCTGCATCTGAAAAAGACAAATATCCACTTTTCATAGAGACAGAAAAGGTTATTAAAATACTGTGAAGTACAGATCATCTGCATGCACATACCACACCTCTATTTGCTAATTTGCTTGGTGTAGTTAAGCTGTCTCTGACTGAGGGAGGCGAAGATGCACTGATATTGGCAATGTAACATTCGAAAGACAGAGCTGCATCTTATTTTTCCCATTTTCCGTGGTAGAATAAAAAAATATAAATAATGCAGAGATGTGGCATACTTCTGCAAGGCACAGAATGGCATGGAGTGAGACAGATGTGCTGAGCATTGTTACTCAGCAAAACAAACAAAATACGTATGGGCAATTGTATGCTGTCTGGTAGAGTGCTGCACTCATTCATTTCTATTGCAGACAGAGTTGTACTCCTTTGCTTCCTCTCCATTCACTCAAAAATCAGTTGAGTGGAGGGTGGCAACTTAGACTGTCAAGTGAATGGAACTGGAATAAGAGGAGAGCTCTGGTACTTCAGTGTAGTGTGACTGCTAACTTTATTTGTGAGAAGCACCTCACAGAACAACACTTAACATTAACTTGTGCACACTGAATACTACAATATATTGTCAGATCAGAGCTGGCTTTAAATTTGCTATCTGGGTGCTAGAAACAATGCTGTCATTTTGTTAGAGAGTTCTGGACGAGTTACTTTACCATTCTCCTCTAAAGAGACAGAGCCCAAGATGTGCAGGAAGAGATCGAGAGGCTACAAGTCTATTCAAATATCAAGCAAGCAGGTTCTCCTCATAAATAGGGAATTTATTAACATGCATAAGACATACAGTTGACAAATATATGATTATTTCCATTACAGTAGCATCTAAAGAGGCCTCCAGCTGAGATAAGGACTCCCAGCTGTGCTAAACACTATGAAGGCACACAGCAAAAGACAGGACCCCTTCAGAAATGCTTGCAACATACTGTGCAACTGTTCTGCCAGTTCTGCTTGGCAGTAATGCTGCACTTGAAGAACTGTATTTCACACCTGTGTTTTTGAGCAATGACTTAAGGATTTCGTGTAAAAATACTGGCTTGCAAATCTGATGCTATATTACACCTGACAGATTCCCAGCAACTGAATTTTGACAGTGCATTAGTTAAACACAAGGAAAGTCTAAAATTGCTGTATTTCCTTAATTATTAGATACTGTAACAGTAATTCAAGTGCTAGTTACCCTATTTTGCTTTATACACTTCTATGTCAGTCTTCTATAATAAACCATGTGATGACTCATAAACATCTAAAATATTTCCCTTGGTGTTTAGTATTTTATTACATAGATGCCAATTATGTTCAAGTGGCAGCCTGAACAAGCTCGAACAGTCATCTATTACATGAATTGTTCCATTGATTCCTATACTACAGAGGGTTATGCTTTCATATATCACATTGAATAGGATTTGTTTTCAGAGACACTGGGGCTAAACTACTGGTGAAAGTGCTTTCAGAGGTTATAGGCACCAGCACTGTGCTCACCCTTTCCCAGGGTTTGAATAATAGACCTTCCACTCCACCCCAACCCCCTTTGCCATTTTCTTTTAAAGCAAACTTACTATGAGAAAAAAAAAAAAAACAAAACAGAGAACAAATTACAGATACACAGTAATATCCATTGTGCTCAACACTATTTAACGTGACAGAGTTAAAGAAAGGAGCTTGGAAATAACCTAGGATGAACAGCAGGTTATCCCCTGAAAATACTTAGTTCATGGGGCACTCAATAAATGAAAGCACAGAGTTCTTGCAGATGAACACAATGCATGACCTAGGGATACACAACGTGGAAATCAGAGTAATGCTCTGGAGATTAAATGCTCTTTCAGAATGTTTCATTAAAGTGAGATGCAACATTTCTAAACTGCGGGTAAGTGTCACAGTCAAAGCAACATGAAAAATATGAACCACTCTCAAGCCATGAAAATAATCAATCACCTACAAGACATTTGTTCTTATAACACTTCAATTAATCATTCAGAAATGTCATGGTTCTACTTTTAACAACACTGCTGCTGTCCACTGCTTCCTTGGAACAAACACGGATCCCAGAGCTGCAGGTCATAAGCAGGAAAGAAGCCCAAGTAGGCAGGAATGCTGGGGACATACTGCACAATGACACCTTTCCTATCATTAAAAACATTGAAGCAACTGGTAGCCTTCAAGGGAAGAAAACAGCATTTATCCTGGGATGCCCATAACTTTCAAATTGGGAGTTTCTCTTCCAGATAGAATATGATAGAATCTACTTTCAAAGAGATCTACAAAAAAAATATCTCCTCTTCCTTAGAGATGGATCTCCATCTGTCAACTGTAACCTCAATATCGTCTTGACCTATTAGCAGTGGTAAAATGGATCCACAGGCCACTCTTTGTAGGTCTTTACATTAGTACCTTGTACAATTGATTCCTACCTGAAATGCAAAGTATCTTTGGCTCCACCTAAGTAAACTACAGATTATATGTTAAAGAGGTTAGGAGATTGGACTAACTGCAGACTCTTGATGTCCCTCCACAGCAAAGTTCCTAGGAAAAACAGAAAGATAAATATCACTGAGCTTGCTAGAAGGACATCATCAAGAATATGAAGTCCCTGTATAAGGCTTCTTCTGCCATTTTAGTAGAGACAGAGCTTTTGGGTTAAAACCGAGATCGTATTGGAATAAGTGAGAGTCATGAGAATGGTGCAGCATTTTTATTTTCTATTCAGGAGAGATGCACATTATGTCTGTAGCCTGCAAGCCTGATGGGTAGGAAAAATTAACTTATTCATTGCCTTTTTTTTTTTTTTTTTTTTTTTTTTAACCCTGTTCAAACTGTCAGAGTTCACTAGAATGACATATTTATCTTTAAAATAACAAATTGAAGGAAAAAAACAAAGAGTGCTTTTGAAAGGACTTAGACTACAGAGGTGAAGGCTAATACTGGATATCAAATTTTACTAAAGTTTTCTCCAATGTTTCCTTCACATCTTTGCAGATTTCATCTGTATTGCCTATACTACAGTATCCTCAGAACTCTCATATCTGCCCTATAGTCACCTAACAGCTGTTTATTTTCAGTCTTAATCTTGCTATTAAATAGAAAAAAGAAAAAAAATCTCATGTCCATCCAGTTTCCTTCTCTGTTTCTCAAGTTAAACTTTTTGCTTTGTCTTCTCAACATCAGTATCTAATTAGCTTTTCCTCACTGAGTTAATCTCTAGGTCTAACAGGTGCTTCCCTGCTGTTTTTCACAATTTATTGCTTCATCTCCACTAGGTATTTTGCCACAAATTATTTTCTGCCTGTCTTTTTCCTCACAGCTTTATTCTGTCATAGCCCATTGTACCAATAATTCTGTTGGTACCTTTCTCATCTAGAACTGCTTTTGAGCTTGGTTGGTGCATGCAAGCCCAGGATTCACAGCAGGGAAACATTTTGTCCCACAGAGGAGAGGCCAGCGTTGTTCAGCATTGCCTTGTAACAGCTCATCTAGCACATGCAAGAGATCTAAGAAATGTATATTTGCTTACCATTTTAATTCTCTGAGAGTCATAAACGAAACACAAAAGTTTGTGAGACCCTTTCAAGAGAGATCACAAACTCTGGATGTTACTGCAAATATGTTGGTCACAACTGCACCAGGAGAGCTGATAATCACACCCATACAGGCTCCACGTGGCCAAGATGCCATCGCGTACTCCTGTTTCAAGTTATGTGGCAATTATTCTTTGTTTTACTGACAATCAATGTAAACTATGATATGAATGACTATGTGCTGAGATAAAACCATAGAAGTCCAGGTAGTGAAATACTAACAGTGCTTTATTCAGATTATTTTTTCACACCTGGTAAAGCCCAAGCTCTGTTGTGCACACGTCAGACGCATAGAGCTGTCTCTTGCTTGAAGGGCTACGATGGGCAGCATACAGAAACTAGCAGTCGTAGGGCATTTGCTTCTCCAAAGAATATCTACTGTGATTAAGTAAACCACTTAAAAACAATCTTTTGCAAGAAGTCACCAAGAGCTAAATACCTAAAATACCTACAATACCTTTGGCTGCGGAAGAAAATAGGTATGCGAAGAACTTGAAATGGTATTCAACTGTAGTCTGAAAAGTAGTGGATCTAATGTGAAGAAATGTTGAGCACCTATAAGCTCAGTGAAAGTCCACGAAAAGCAGTGTTTCACTTTTTAAAAAACACAGTATTTCATACTGGTTGGACAAGCTGCCAACAATTGGTAGGTACTTCTGCCTTTAAACTCTCTTGTGAATTTCCAATCTGTAAAACAGGAACTTTGTCATGACTTTAAATTATAGGCTAATTTGAAGATAAAATCAGCATTTATAAACTACTCAGACACTGTATTGAGGAGCATCATAGAGATACCCATGGGATTATTAATGGTTTTTCTTCATAGCATATACATTCATTAATAAATAACCAAGCACTCTTCACCTAGTGTATCAGCAGAGAAAGAGGTCCTTTGGGAGGTGTGATAAAAGACTGATTCATATCAAATAGGCACAAGAGAGCCATATTACACTAGCCAGGATAGTTTCTTCTTACAAAAAGTTGCAAAACTGGGAGAAAAATATATGGAAATATTCACTTCTGCGGAAAACAAATCTTTTGAACTATAGTTCTTGACTTGCTCTAATTTGGACCTTCTTGCTTCAACTTTGTGTATCAAGATACCCCCAGGGAATTTGGTGATGGCTTAGTTTGTTCTGAAGATATAATGAAACATTTAAAAAGTGTAGTAACATTGCTTTCTTGCCCTCTAATCAAGAGGTTGTGCTAACTAAGGAATTCTTTTACAGATAGTATATAGTCCTATTGTGAATATAACAGAGACTTTCTACTGTCTGTAAAAATATGTAAAAACATTTATTCTACGTGCAAGAGGAAAAAAAAAGCAACAGAAACAGCTATCATATAGTCAAGTGTTGTAACAATTCACTGCTTATTGAAGTGAATTTCAAACTTCTATAATTACAGCAGACTTTGACAATATGAAGTTACTAATTTATTTTTTAGATATATAACAATATACCAATTCACACACACACACAAAAAGGAGAAATAATAAAGAAAGAACAACTCAGCCTCATATAATACAGTTTTTGATGAGTGATCCAGTCATGCAACTAAACATGACTTATGATCATAGAAAGTACGGGGCTAGATTTTTTTGAAATATTCATCTACAAAACGTACCTAGAGTAAATCCAGATGCCTCCAGAAGCCTGAAATACAGTTGAATTTTACTAAAAGGGAATTGAGATTTTTTTTTTCCTCACGTACGACTTATAGACAAGCACAAAACAACACATGGCTGCAAAGTTGTCTATCTGACACTTCCATTACTGAAAGTCATGTTAAAAGTCAACAAACTTTCTTCCCCATCTCAGGAGTGAAATATTCACATAAACGTAAAAGATCAGCATCTGTAATCACGAAGCACTTTCACATAACAGGAATTCAACATGCACAGAAATAGTGTGATGTGAACCAGCTACCTTCAGAAATGCAGATACCTGTGCGTAGGTTCAATCAGCATGTTGGCTTACACAAATTAACCATGAGTGGTCTGGCATAGCAATTATATGGCAAATCCCACGCACGCTCTGCAGAACATATTTGTTTTGCTGAAAATTCTATTAAAGTCACTGTTCATTAACCTGAAGAGACAGCTTCCTTGACAATTATCTTAATTACTTGAGAGTAATACAAAAAGGCAGGACTCCTCAAGTACTTCATTCAAGAATACCTGCATGGGATGCCAGCAGGAGGAAGGTTTGGAGTTAGTGGGATAGAAGTGTTTTACTTACTGTAAGGGGATTTGTTGCAAATAAAAATGGAGCTCCATTTACAGAGTGCTCTGAGTTCTGTTTGTTGGGGTTAATAAATATCTAGGGCATCTAAGAAAGCTTACAGATGTTGTACATTAGTATTTTTAGGGTTAGAGCATTTAATAGAGCATGCAGATGCTATGCTATTATTAGTACACAGTATATAGCTATTTGCTATGCACTAGTATTTTTTTTTTTAGGATTGTATCTTCTGGTTTCATATTCACATATATATATATATATATATATATATATATATATATCTCTCTACAGAGGTTACCTTTGTCATATAAAACTGATTTAGAGAGGAACTGGCTTTTGCAAACAATCAGCTATATGGCAAGAACACAACTTCTTCACCAATTATTTCTCTCCTGAAAAGCTGAGGGAGCTAATGAAAGCAGAAACTCACATACATCTTCCCAAAAAAAAAAAAAAAAAAAAAATCAGAAGCAAGGAGTCGAGAACAGTTCATAGGAAGTCATAGTTCAAAATTCGTGTGTATAAAATGTTCTTAATAGTAGAAAGTATTTCTTTTTCTTTTTTTTTTTTTTATAAAGAGAAATTTCTTCTTTGAACAAGTTTCACAGTGTATAATTCAACGTCTGTTTCAAAAATGACAAGCAAAGCAAACAAAATTCTTCACTGTTGGAGCTACAGTTGTAGACCCCAGAGAAAACAAGTCTCCAGAGTATCTAAGAAACAATTTTACACAAAATCCTCCACTCTCCATTAGCCAGTTTGAATGTGGCACTTCCTTCCCCTCCTTTCAAGCTTTTTGTCCATGTTGGCAAAAATAAAAGCTTGAAGACTGCCTCCTGCACTATCTAGCCCTCTACTCCTAACTGCATTACCATGACAAAAAAAGGAAAAAAAAAGAAAAAGAGAGCCCTTATGATTCCTCCTACATAGAAGGTACAGGAAGAAAAACTTGTAAATTGGCAGTGACATCATTTGCTAGAAAGTGATTCACTCTTATGAAACAGCAGGGAAAATTAAATTTACTCCCAACCACCCCAAAGCTCTTTCAGTGAATCAGCGTGTGGCAGAAATGATAGTAGGAGACGTAAATCCTTTCTCTATTTTAGAAAGACAAGGATTGTGTAATGAGCTAGAGTACATAGAGCAAAATTACCATATACTGTCACTGAAATATATTTCCCCTGTGATTTTGCCAAAAAAGGTATGAAAGTGGGATAGAAAATAAAGCAAGTGCTGTTACAGGCAGCAAGTGGATTAGTACACATCATCAGTAATATGTGACCAGTTTACAAAACAGTGACTGACAGCACCAAAAGATAAGATCTTTAGTATTCCCTCCAAAGCCACCCTACACCCAAAGCATAGCCATGCCTGAATACATTGCAATATTTCCATAAGTCAGGTTGCCTACAACATGCTGAAGAAACTAATTTTAACACATGAAGGATAAAGGTTCCATATATCTCTTTGAACTCTGCCGGGCCCCCAAAGAAAGAAAAACAAACAACAATGAATGAAATCACTGTCTAGTTTTTCTACAGATTTCTTCAACCATAACTGCTATTTCCATTTAAATTTTAGGGGTGCCTATGATGAGCAGATCTTTTCAGGCAAATGTATAGGATCTTTCCTTGACACATTCTACAACTGATTGAATTGTGTGACTTCCAGGCTGGTGCCTTTTTCTGTCCATGGGTCAAAGCAC